GTATTTGTGTGTGTGTGTGTGTGTGTGTATATATATATTATACACACACACACACAAACATATATATCCTATGGGTTCTGTTTCTCTGGAGAACTTTAACTGATATATATATATATATATACTCCTTTGCAAAACATTTTTTGCACGCACACACACATTTGCACATGCTGGAGTTTTTTTCAACATATTATTTTCCAAACATTTTTTCTTGTCAATACAGATACATAAAATTTCAATTTTAATAGCCTCAACATACTTCATGGTAGAAATGTGCTATAATTTATTTACCAATTCCTCTAGTATTAAACATTTGGATTTTAGAAAGAACACCATGATAAACACCTTTGTACATAAATCTTTGTCAAAACTTCCAATTGTTTTTTTAGACTAGCTTCTGCAAAGAGGATTTGCAGGATTCAAGTAAAAATATTTTAAGACTCTTAGGAGCTATCCATTTATTCATCAAAAAATATCTGTGGAGCCCCTATTAGAGTCAGGCACTGTGGTAGACACCAGTCATTCAATGATGAGAAAGACCCAGTGGTCCAGTGAAAAGGAAGAGAATTCTAAAAGCAGTAATAGTCCTGCTGACAACTGCCGTGATAGGGAAACCGTAGAGTACCATAGGAACACACCGGAAGTGAAACTGTTTTGGTTGTAGGGTTGCAGGAAGGCTTCCCAGCAGGAGTGACACCCATCTAAACTAAAGCCTGAGAGATGAAGAAGAATGAGCCTGAGGAAGGCTGGGCTGAGTAGAAACAGGCAGAAGGCACAGCATCTAGACAGACTTGGAGCAAGAGAGTGGATGGCACTTGGGTACATGATGGTCCTGTTGTTTGATAAGAAAAACACAAAGGAGCAAATTTATCTTGTTTTGTTTTGTTTCATTTGGTGGAGGTGGGGAGGAAGGAAGAAAAATAAAGAGCTAAGTTTTGCACCATTTGATTTGAGCTGCTTCTGAAAAATTCACATATGCCAAAAACCCAGTTTGATATATTTGGTTGAAGCTCAAATATATGAGATGAAAATAATCAGAAAATAATAGTTGAAGCATAAGCACAGATAATATTACCCACAGATAATATGTGTTGACTGAGAAAATAAATAGGGTAAGGGAACCTAAAGAACACCAACTGGCAGATCATCTGAGGTCAGAAGTTCAAGACCCGCCTGGCCAACATGGCAAAACCCCATCTCTACTAAAAGTACAAAAATTACCCTGGCATGGTGTCAGCTGCCTGTAATCCCAGCTACTCAGGAGGCTAAGGCAAGAAAATCACTTGAACCCAGGTGGTGGAAGTTGCAGTGAGCTGAGATGATGCACGCCACTGCACTCCAGCCTGGGCAACAAGAGCTAGACTCCGTCTCAATAAAAGGAAAAATAGAACACCAACTTTAAAGAGTAGGCAGAAGAAAATCCCACAAAGAAAGGATAGAGCAGGTTCAGTCAAAGACATAAGAACATCAAAAAGAGAGAGGTGGGCTGCTGTTTCGTACACAGCATAGCAGCTCCCTCACTGCAATCTATTGAAAGTCAACTCTCAACTTTAAAAAGAGAGAGAGTGGTATCCCAGAAACCAAGAGAGGACCAGGTTTCAAAAAGGGAATAATCAATCATTCTTTGGATATAACCAAAGAAACTTGTTGCCAACCTTGGCAAGAATA